AGAGAGAGAGAGAGAGAGAGAGAGGGAGAAAGAGAGAGAGAGGGGGGAGGAGAGAGAGAGAGAGAGAGAGAGGGAGAGAATTTGTTTGTTTTACTTTGTAGTAAGAGTTTTACGGCATTCGCAAAACAATAAGGTCACATAAGTGTCGAATATTAGAGGTGCTACAAGAGAGTAACAAATACACACAAAAAAGGAGGAGAGATAAGGACGATGGATGTTTGATAGGTATGAAGAAGCAGACCACACCAGAGCACCCACCAACCACCCACTATACTTTATTTCAGCTAACCAGGTCAAGACAACGGTGTCAATGAATTCAAAGTTTTAGTAAGGGCTGAAGACTAGAGTAGTTTAGTAGAGGTTTTACAGCGCTCGCAACAGCATAAGGTCATATGAGCGCCAGAAGATTTGAGGTGTTACAGGAGAGTAACAAACATAAAAAAAGAAGAAGGGGAGATAAGGACGATAGATGTTTGATAGGAAAGAAGAAGCAGACCACACCAGAGCACCCGCCAACCACCGGCGCCGAAGATTAGAGGTGTTCCTAGAGAGAAACAAACACAAAAAAGGAGGAGAGATAAGGACGACAGATCTCTATAGAAAGGAAGGAGCTAATCACCACCAGAGCACTCGCCAACCACCCATGTTGCTAGCATGTCACATTCAAAGAAAAGCAAGTGAGATCAGGACGACAGACGTCTGATAGGAAAGAAGGAGCAAAAACAGCACCAGAGCACCCGCCAACCACCCCCCAAAATCGGTGGCGTAACAAGAGAGTTTCCAGAGCATCCTGCTTACCATTTTGTAGGACACTAGGCCCACCTTGCCCCCTCACATATGACAACACCAGGCCACCCACCCAACCGCCCCTATAATTAGAGATGTAACAACAGTCTTCTCTGTTTTAGTAAGAGTTTGTTTTTGTTTTAGTAGAGGTTTTACGGCACTCGCAACTGCATAAGGTCATAGGAGCACCAGAAGATTAGAGGAGTTACAAGAGAGTAACAAACATAAAAAAGAAGGACGGGAGATAAGGACGATAGATGTTTGATAGGAAAGAAGAAGCAAACCACACCAGAGCACCCGCCAACCACCCACAGTAACAGTTTTACAACAGTACTTGCAACAAAACAAATAAGGTCATACTAGTGCCAAAGATCAGAGGTGTTACAAGAGAGTAACAAACACACACAAAAAAAAGAAGCAGCGGAGGAGAGATGATGAGGACGATAGAGGTTTGATAGGAAAGAAGGAGTAGACCACAAACCACACACCAGAGCACCCGCCAACAACCCACTGAGAGGCTTCCTGAGCAGTCTGCTTACCTTTTTGTAGGAGACGATGCCCGCCTTGTCCACTCGCCGATGACCGATCTTGCGCTCCTTGTCGCGCATAGAGTTGGTGTGATGGCTCGACTGTAGAGAAAAGATTTTTTTTTAAAAAAAGTTTTAGTAAGGGTTTTTACGGCACTTGCAACACAATAAGGTCATATAAGTGCCAAAGATTAGAAGTGTTACAAGAGAGTAACAAATACAAAAAAGAAAGAGGGGAGATAAAGACAATAGATCGGTCAAATATAGGGAGTTCAGGTTTTTACTAAAGAGAAGCACATCGATCCAATTTTGATTTGGTAAGAGTTTTGCAGCACTTGCAACACAATAAGGTTTATATAAGTAAGTGCCAAAGATTAGAGGTGTTACAAGAGAGTAACAAAATCAAAAAAGGTGGGGAGATAAGGACATTTGATGGGAAAGAAGAAGCAAACTACACCAGGGCACCCGCCAACCACCAACAGAGTAAGACTGACAGAAAGAAACCATGGTGAGGAAAAAAAAAGAAGTAGGACCTACTAGTGGCACCAAAAAACACCTGCAGAGCTATTGGAGAATACACAATAACAGTCATATAATATATAGTGCAAGAAAAAAAAATAATCAAAATATACACATAAAACAATAGACTGAAAAAAAAAAATCCAACCATCCTCTAATACACCTGCGAGAGCACGACAAAGAAGATATAATGTGAAGCGTGCTGACAAAATTAGTCCCCTCTCGGATTCAAGCCCTATGGAAATAGCTACATCAGGCTTATAGTACACGTGAAGTTTTTATGATTTATAGGTATTAAATGGCATGTTATACTTAAAGAATATAATGACTTCAATAGATAGAAAATATACAAATTTGACCCAAGTGTCGATATTTGGCCAATTTTGATTTGTTTAGAATGCAACAAATAACTCATTTTGTCAGCACATGTATAATAATCTCTCTATCTCCCGGGACATTGTGTCCCTCTCAACCAGGGTTGGGAATCTGACAGGAAGGCTCACAGCCCGCCTCCTAAACCACCTACACTGTGTCAAAGGGGCGTGCGTAAAGCACTTATTCTTTTTTTCAAAGAGGTACTGAATGGCAAATTACACAAGGCCCAGTTCAGTAAAGAGATACATATCAACACAATAACTACTAAATAGTTCCCACAACAACCAAAAAAAACAAACAAGAAAACAAGAAAGAAAAGAAAGACTGAAAAAAAAAGAGGAACCAACTCCCAGCGCCCTCCAACCACCCACTAATACACCTACAAGAGCACAGCAATGCAGATATTTATATATAATATATATAATCATCTCTATCTCCTGGGAAGCTGTGTCCCTCTCCACCTGGATTGGGAATCTGACAGGAAGTCTCACAGCCCGCATCCTAAATCACCTACATTGTATCAAAAGGGCGTAAGGCACTTATTTTTTCCAAAGAGGTACTGAATGGCAAAATACACAAGGTCCAGTTCAGTAATAATAAAAGATAGATAGCATTTTTGTATAGCGCAAATCCCCGCTCAACAGCAAGCTCTATGCGTTTCACAATCTATCCACTATTACCCAAGCAGACCTGAGAGTGAGAGCATTCTGAAACAAGTTCAACTTCCCAGGAAGCATACAGTGCAAGCGGCCATTTATACAGCGCTAAAACACCAGCATACTGACAAGATCTTTCACTGTCTATGGCTGGGTACCCATTCCCACCTGGGTGAAGTGAGGACAATTCATGTAAAGTGCCATTCCCAAGGCCACAACCTCAGGCCCGCCGCTCGAACCCCAAAACCCGCAACCTCCTGATTACAAGTCCGGTAGCCTAACCACTAGACCACCGACGCCAATAAAGAGATAAACATCAACGCAACAGCTACTAAATAGTTCAACCAACAACAAACCTAAAAAAAAAAAGAAAGCAAGAAAGAAAAGACAGACTGAAAAAAAAAGGG